CTCCCCGCCCCCACCCTTTTTGTCCGATCCCTCCCCCCCCGCATTTATAAACCATCCGCCGCATTTAAATAATGAAAAATCAATCAATCAATGAAATGAATTGATTGAGAGATTCATTGTGGCTGAGAGAGAGAGAGGGTCCGGTCTCCCCCCCCCCCCCCCCCCGACCCACTCTTTGTGTCCAGCTCCTCCTTCCCAGTGTAAGACTATGAAAAGGGAGACTCAGCTCCTTGCAAAATGCTCCCACTGGCGACCCCACCCCATCTCTGACCACTGATGTCAGGACGGGGGGCAACATTCAATACCTTCATTGTGAGGTAGCTATGCTTGCAGGGGTCCCCTCTGTATAGCCTTAGGAGTAGTGGTATGCAGGTAGTGAAAGGCAAAAAATAATTTGAGAGAACCGAGTATAGTGTACTTCGACAAAGAAAAAAAAAAAGAAAAAAAAAAGCTATGCCTGAGAATAAGTGATAAGCAAAGAGACAGCCCAAAACATCTACAGAACTCGACTTAAAAGAGTGTTAAAATATCTCTCTCTCTCTCTCTCTCTCTCTCTCTCTCTCTCTCTCTCTCTCTCTCTCTCTCTCTCTCTCTCTCTCTCTCTCTCTCTTCCTTTGAGTCCATTTTGAGTCTGTCTGTCTGTTTGAGTCTGTTCAGTTCTGTTCTGAGTCAGTTTCAGACAGTTCTGACTACCTTTTCACTTTGTTGTGGTCTACGGGTTCTTTTGAGTCTGTGTGCGCAGTTTGTGTGATGTCGTCCTCTTTGTTTTTTTTGTGCGCGCATTGCCCGCACAGCCCGCACCGGGCGCTAAGCTAGTATATATTATATACGATATATATCCCTCCATTCCTGACTGCAGGCACCCTCCGCATCCAGAAAACTATATGTCCAGGTTGCGGCCATGGGCGCTATACTGAATGCATGGTCTTTTGTGGTGACCGTTCTTCCTTCATTTTGGCCTGCAATCGACATGCCATTTGTCGGGGGTGTATGGTGGGCATGCTCAATGCCAGCCGTCGTGCCAATTGCTGCACTGAAAATGCTCAGCTAGGTCTTCCATGCGTTCATCAACCTCATCCTTACAACGTATGCCCTCTCTGTCATCAACGACAGACTCATTCTTGAGCCTCCACACTCCGTACTTTCCCTTACTTTCCCTTTGTTGTTCTTTGTTTGTCTACTCTCCATCTCTCCTCCCTGTGTTTATCCCCTCCCCCCTCACTCTGCCCATTTCTTACAGCGTACAAGTGGACCGTTCCGGTACACGGGGATGGGGGCAGCTCGCGCTCAACTTCATCAACATGACGAGCCTTCTACGTGAGAGGCACGGTGAAGGGGGAGTTAAAACAAGAATGAGAAAAATGAATGGTTTCAGTGTCCCCTTCACGTTTGTCTTGTTTTTTAATTTTTTTTTGTTTCTGCCATTTGTTTCGCAAAGAGCGCTCTTTTAGTTCATAGTTATGTGACAATATATATACAGCCTCCTGATGAGTCGGTGAAACTCCGATGAAACAGTTTGTCACAGCCCCTCACTTGTGGTCCTTTTCTCCCTCTCTGCCTACTGTTTACCGGGCAGCTCTGTTTGACTATTTATCTGTCCAGGCGTGCCGCTTCTGTTGCAGACGGGTGTGTGGGCACTTCCCACTCAACCACACAAACGTGGGGAACCTTGCATTTTCTATTATATGGCCCATTTATACTTCTTTTGTTTTATGGATGGTTTGTGATGGCTTGTAGATGGAATGAGAGAAGTAGTTTGGGGTTTCTTGATAACACACACACACACACACACACACACACACACAAACATTCTCAGGGGTATCGCTAACTCTGGGCGACGTGGTGAGTTTTCATCCATCAGTCAAATGCATCCTGGGCAGACTGTCGGGGTTCAACCTCCTGATGAGTTGCTGAAAGTCTGACGAGACAGTCTGGCGCAGTCATGCTTTTTTTGAGTGTATAGCGAATATGACAACACACACACACACACACACACACACACACACACACACACACACACACACACACACACACACACACACACACATCAACTAGGACGTCAGGCTGTTTTCAGGGGAGGGAGTGATTAACAGGGAGCGGCGGCCGGAGAAGGTAGATGGTGTGGGGTGCAAACCACGCAGAAACCGTGGCCGATCGTTTTCTGAACTTTTGCATTGCTGGACAGCATCTGCATTGGAACTCGCTGTGACTGTGTGCACGCAGACCTGTGGTTATTTCCTCTACCCGTGTTGGCACCTCTCGGGCCTGTGCTCGGTTGACTCTCACATACTCTCTGATAAATACGGGTTTCTGAACATTATGGTTTTCTGGTGATTTGAAACAAATAAACTGTGAAACGTGCATGACCTGTCTCCGCCATCTGTGGGCAGCTCCCTACCACGTACGACTGTACCTGCTTTGCCACGAGCGGAGCCGTGGCAGGTCCAACTTGTGTCTATTGAGTCCTGGATGGAACACCCACCCCATGTGGCTGAATTGTACACCCATGAACAGGTTCGCCAACAGACCGAAGTTTGGATCCTGGCGGACTAGGATGAATAAAATAACTATGAAGGGGGCCGGTTGGTTCGCGATGAGCCATGCAGCAAGGTAGACCTGCACTCTTGTTTTCGATACTTTCCAGGTAACTACTGACGTTCCGGAATTCTTCATTCCACTGAAGGTGTCTTAGTTAGCAGAGCAACAGAGGTCTTACCAGTTATCCCGGCAACCTGTGCAAATGGCACTATGTCCACATTCTGAGGCTGATACTGTCATACAATCCCCCTGAAGTAGACGAGCAAGGCCTGCATCCGGCCATTGAATTATTCTCCTTCCTCTGCAGGTGAGGCGGAGGCAATACAGAAGACTTAGTGTGCAAGAAGAGAAATGACACAGACAATTAACAAGCAATTTGATGGACAAATACATTGATTGCATTTGAAGTTAATACTTGCATCAAACTTGATGGAAGGGGCCAAACAAATGGACAGGGATCTCGAACAAAAACATGGAAAAAAAAGACCGTTGGTTACGGATTATTTCACACTTTGATGGCATCCAATAGCTGCCAATGTTTCCATAGCGGTGCCAATGTGTTGGCAGCAGAAAATCCACTCGCTGCAACCGCCGGTACCCCAATACCTGGGAAAGTGGAATCGCCACAGCAGAGGAGCCCAGGAAGAGCGGTAGTTGGGCCTGGGAATATTTCCTTTCCTGCCCTAATTCCAGGGCCATAGGTTCCTCTGTCTCGCCGCAAAAAGCGCTCATGAGTCAACGGCGAACCGACCAGAGAAAATTCGACCAGGTCCCGTCGAAACTTTGGACCCAAAGCGCGCTCGACTGCTTTCCAGAGAACCTGAAATCAGAAGCATCAGCAGGAGGTCATCGGGGCACAACAGCGAAGTAATGAGCAATGATCAAGAAGCCCAAGCCAACACTCTTTCTCTGTCAAAACTTGTGATTATGGGACTCCATCCAAATCCAATCGCCCTGTCTCCGCAGAATAGAATGGAGCCAAATTCTAGATGTAATAAGCCTTGTATTAAATAAAATTATAAAAATTAAATTACCGAAAAACTTGGACAAACTTCCGACAAAGAAAAAAAAAAAAACGCCCTGTGAGCTACATTTGCAAGGAAGATGAGCAATAGCGAACTTCAGCAATCAAACAGCATCATACACATGAGACCAGATAGTCGTGACCTCAAACCAAAAGCAGAATTGCATCACGAGTTTCAACAATTTGAAATATGAGCACACCAAAAGCTCATAATTGACAATGCTGGAATAGTCTCATCATCATCAACAAAGAACCAATGCTGATATCCTATCTGGCGCTCGCCGCCCAGACTACGAATGGCAGATCCTATCTAACCTAGACTACAATGCCGCTGATGACGTCAACAGCTCCCCGAAGTACGAGCAGATCTCGGCCAATGTCGCAGGCTTCAAGCATCAGGTATGTCTCTCGTATCACTCACAACCTCGTTCCCCAACTCACAGATGCCACATGCAAGGACCAGCATGTGCCCCATCGAGCATACAGCAGCGCAGCTCGGCTATGGCTGCCTGCTCCTTCCAGCTCGCCCGTGAACGCGTGAGCCTGGCAGGCAATAGCGCAGGAGCACTTGCGCACAAAGCAGCCAGTGCCCGAATGTTCAATCCGTAGGCTGGCCCTTTCCTAAATGGAAGTGGCCAGCCTGCTTGCGTGCAGCCTGGCTGCACTGGGCCCCTGCCCAGAAGCTTCCGGTAGGCCCAGGGAGGCTGAGCCTCAATCTGAAGGAAACAGGCCCAGGGCCTGGGGCAGTTACCAGCACCCAACTACCCTTAGCCTTTGTTCGGTCCACTTTGTGTATCCGGCCCAGGCCTTGCCTCAGTTACATGCAATGAAAGGCAGCCTGGGCCTGGGTGCTTCCAACCGACTGGCGCTGCACAACTGCCTGAATTTCCCCAGTTGCGTAGTAGTCCAAAATAGGCCTCTTGGGGTCTGTTGAGCCTGCCTTCACTTAGGCCTCTTGGGGCCTTGGAGCCCTACGCTGTTGCAAATAGGGGCCCAGTAGGGCTTATCGAGGCCTTGTGCCTCGCATTCCCTCCTCCATACTTCGCTACTCCTCTGAGAAATTCAGTCTTCGATAATCTGGCGCTTTCCCTTCTGCAGAGACTTCTCATAGTCAGCGACTACCTGTGGAACGGTCTGCATCAGTTCCTCTCTTGTGAACCATCTATCCTCCTTTGGATCAGTGTGATGTCTGAGCCGAACTCGATAAGCAAACTCCAAGGTTCCTGGTGCAGCAGCTGACTGATTCTCAGGTAGTAGGAAGTCCAAGGGCAGTCTAAGCTTGAAAGTCAGTAGCAGCCTGTTTGGGCTTACTCCCGTAGCGCTCTGCACAGCGTTGTTGTACAGGCTGGCGATGAGAGCGAGTTTCTCATCCCAGTCTACCTGATTCGGCTTGATGTAATGCCTCAGCAGGTGTTACATGCCCAGTTGGGCGATGTACATAATAACCAAGGATCCGCAATGTGATGAAAAGGACTGAATGGACAATGCAGTGCAAGTGAAATCTCAACAAGCAGTGTACACTCTGATACATACAAAATGGTGCCTTACAGCACAGTGGAAGACTAAGATACAAGTCCTGACTTGACCGGGACTGACCTCTTTCATGCAGTACCAGATAGCGAAGCAGAAGGCTAGAATACTAATGACGAGCCCAATCAATGTCACAATGCAGACTAAACATACATCATTTTCACCACAAGGTGTGAAGGGGCCTGGCGCTATACACAGGAAGAGGCGCCAGGTCCAGCCACGCACAGACGAAGAGGAGGGGATCATACGAAGAGGAGGGGAGAGATGGGAAAGTCGTCAACACCAAGTCTCGTTACAAGTCCCAAATAATCCCTCGTCACAATGTCTGAAGTCCAATGTCGAGTCTGGATCCAAATGTCACCAAGCTCTCTCTCTCTCT